GTCGGATCAAACGGAAACGGGTCTTGATATTGGACCCGAGGAAGTGAGATTGTATCCTGTACAGATGATCAGTACCTTTCATGAGACAAATCAAGGGGAGATGAATCTAGGTTATGAGAGAGTGTTTGTACAGCGATCTATAGGTGGAACCTTTATTGAGCCCCTTGATGAGACACCACCACCCAACCCAGCTTCTGACAGGGACAGTGACATTAGGTTCCATGATGAGGAGGAAAGGTTGCAAACATTTTCGGGGTGTTGGTCCGACGTCTACCCGGTCGACCCTATCAGTTTGGCTAAAAATGGTTTTATCTTCATTGGACCTGGCGACCTTGTCAAGTGTATTTTCTGTTTGAATACGTTGAGGGGATGGAAAATGGGTGATGTGGTAGAAGAAGAACATCGACGCCATTATCCAGACTGTCCTTTTGTACGGGCTGCACATTCACACACACACACACACACACACACACACACACACACACACAGGAGTTGTTTTAAGTAAATAAAATTTTTATGTACATTTAAATGCTCTTTTGTGATTAATTGTAATAGCTGATTAAAAGGTGTGACAACTTTCCCATCCAACTTTGAAATCCTATGCAGTCAAAACATCGGTGTAAGTTATACACCGCAAATCAAACTTTTTCACTCAAACCAAAAAGCTCTCACATACACACACACACACACACACACACACACACCATCAGAAAACGAACTTGTAAAGACAAAAACAATATTACATCGGGAAAACTTCACCGACCCTAGTATAAATTCTATCCGCAACAACTCCAAGACATGAATGGACAGAGTTTGAAACATGCGTCGGTGAAAACTTCACCGACCTTAGTATGAACTCGAATGTAAACTCTACCCCTAACAATTCCTAAACATGTATGGTCTAGCTTCGAACCCTGCCTCGGGGAAAACTTCACCGACCCTAGTATAGACTCTACACCAACCCCTTCCAAAACATCGTGTACCAACATCACTCGGTGAAAACTTCATCGAGCCTAGTATGAACACGGCCCACCCCAATTCCTAAAACATGCCTGTATCAACTTTGTAACCTGCCTCGGTGAAAACTTCACCGACCCTAGTTTGAAACCTACCAACTCCAAAGCATGCATGTAACAACTTTGAACCAAGCCATGGTGAAACCAAAACCATACCACCCTAGTATAAACTCTACACCTAGCAATTCTTAAACATGTATGGTTCGAGTTCAAAACCAACCTCGGTGAAAACTTCACCGACCCTCGTATAAACTCTACACCTAGTAATTCTTAAACATGTATGGTTCGCGTTCAAAACCAACCTCGGTGAAAACAAAATCCTTCCCACTCTAGTATGAACACGGCCCCCCAACAATTCCAATGATGCACGTACGAACTTTGAAACCACCCTCGGTGTAACCAAAACACATCCGTCCCTAGTGTAAACTCTACCACATCCAACTCCTAAACATGCATGGTCCGAGTTCAAAACCCAACCTCGGTGAAAACTTCACCGACCCTCGTATAAACTCTACACCAACCAACAACAAAACATTGCCTCGGTGAAAACCAAAAACCTATGATACTGTCCGTATAACTGTTAGTGAAAAGCACGGGATCCAACCGGGGGAAAAAAAAAAAATCAATTAACGTGGTAACAGATGTTCCCACACTTAACGCTGGCTTCGCCGAAAGCCAGTTAATGTACGTCGTTAATTATCATACCCCCCCCCCCCCCCCGGTGGGATCGCTTCGCGAACCCACATAAATCACCATGACCCGTCAAATCGAGCGGGGAAACTCGGTGAAGCATAACAAAATTTAATTAGGTGTGATGGGCCAGCGGCTGCGATCAATACATTCCCATTAAAACGGGCAGCGGTGAGAAAACTTCGCGGGCGGGTCGATACGTAACAGCTGTGGCTGATCGTTATCTTTAATGAATGTTCTATGTTTGTAACGTTCGTTGTGGTGGAGAATTTAACCTGTTTTTTGTACACGGTCGTTGTAGGGGAGAATTTAAAACATACATACAATCAAAATAAACAAACCAACAAATTAAACAACAAAGAAAAGAAATATATCAAATAAATAAATTAAACAAAGTAATTAAAATCAAAGAAATAAAATGAATTTCAAACAAATAAGCAAATTACGTAACTCGTTAATAAAAATTACACAATATAAACAAAGTAATTAAATTAAACAACAAGTAAACAAACTAATTAAACAATCAAAGTAATTAAATTACATAACTAGTCAATAAAAATTCAAACTAATTATAAAATAAAATTAAAATTACGTAACTAGATACAAAATAAATAAAAATCAAATTAATTAAAATCAAACAAATAATCCAATTACGTAACTCGTCAATAAAAATTACAAAACAAAATAAATAAACAACTATAAAATTTAAACAAACAAATTCAAACTCATTAAAAAACGCATTAAATTACGTAACTAGGTCAAAAAATTAATTAAAATTTTAAAAACTCATTAAAACTCATTAAAAAACGCATTAAATTACGTAACTAGGTCAAAAATTAATTAAAATTTAAAAATTAAATTCAAACTCATTAAAAACTCATTAAAATTACGTAACTCGATAATAAAAATTAATTAAAATTTTAAAAACTCATTAAAACTAATTAAAAAACTCATTAAAATTACGTAACTTTGTCAATGATTACGTCACAAGGTCACTAATTACGTCACAAGGTCACCGGTGGTGACCTACTGACCTACTCCGCATCCGCATCACCCACCCTAGGGTGGGTGAGTATTTTACTATATCTCATTGTCCCAGGCTGCTCACCCACCCTCACCCACCTTCACCCAGGTGGGTGAGTATTTTCCTATATCTCGTTGTCCCAGGCTGCGCCACCTGCTCACCCACCCTCACCCAGATGGGTGAGTATTTTGCTATATGTCGGTGTACCTCCACCTCCCCCAGGGAGTATTTTACTATATCTCGTTGTCCCAGGCTGCGGCAGGCTGCGCCTGGTGGGTGAGTATTTTGTTATATGTCGTTGTCCCAGGCTGGGTGAGTATTTTCCTATATAGCCTTTGTTCCGCATCCGCATCCGCATCCGCATCCCCCTCACCCATGATAACCAAAAGTGACCTAATATACTACTGCGGTAGTGTAGATAAAAATTTGTCCCGATAAATATGATCCAAGCACAGGCACTGTTTACATTTAAATAACTCAGTTTTAGAAAACAAGGTCACGCGTCTAAGAATATAGGATTGGTAAAGCATTGGTAAAGCATTGATAAAACCCTCCTAATATATTTCCTTAGGCTTTATTTGTCTTTTATGCATTACTAGACATTTCATCCGATCGCCATGAAACTTTGGAAAGTCGTTGTGAATACTCCTGGGGAGATTTGTTCGAAAAATATAAACTATTTCGAAAGATCGGTGACTTGGCTGGGTGCAATTTGGCGCCCAGGGCTCTCCTGTGAGCGCGATAGCGCCTACGTTCGTTTTAAAAAGTGCGATAGACTATGGATACAGTGAGGCTTTAAAATTGTTCACCAAACGGAATCAGGCGCGTCTACCGACGCCCATGTAGGCTGCGTTTGCCCGGGCGATCCTAGGTATATATATATATAAATATAAATATAAATATAAATATAAATATAAATATAAATATAAACATATATATATATATATATATATACATATATATATATATATATATATATATATATATATATATATAATATGTAGTATATATATATATTATATATAATAATTATATATATTATAATAATATATACATAAAATATAATAATTATACATATAATTTTATTTTGATTATATTTTTTTAATACTTTTATTTACAATTTAAAACAATCGCAACAATTTCAAATATTCTTATTAAAAAAACATATTAAGATGGATTTACAAATATATACATATGAAAAAAGAAATAGATATTCTGTTTAGACCATTTTTAACATCATTTATACAAAACGTTTATATAGTGTGGAAATAAAAAGTAAGTATGTGCTAGTGAAAAATTTAAAAGTCGAGTGAGAGAAGGGGTCATGGGGACAAAAACATTGAAATGGTGGTGGGAATATGTGAGGGTTCTGGTTCAGTGATTTGTATCTTAACAATGTTTATAGATTGTGTGGTTGCTGAGTACGAGGTAGGGGTGGGCAAGCGTGAAGCAAGTGACGTGATTATATTTTCAACTTAAAAAAAATATATTAAAATACTTTAATTTTCAATATAAAACAAGTAAAACAACATCATCATTTGCATAATTTCAAATATCAACCGAAACCAAAAGATTTTTAGATGTTTACATATATCAAAGTCAACGTGTTACTTGTTTTAACAATATATGCATGCTGATAATATATAACGTCATAATAATTCAGTGCTAGTGGGAAAAAAAAACGTCTAAAACCAAGTGAGATTAGGGGTCACGGAAAGGGTGAAGGCGTAGTGGTAATAAAGACCTGCAAGGCGGGGAGGGGGGTATGGGTAGTATTTTGGTCAGTGAATGGTGTCATTGTAATGTGCATTTTTGTAGAAATTGTGTCTGTTGAGTACAAGGTAGGGGAGTGTAGGCGTGAAGTGGTTGAAATACCTGAGTAGTTTTCGGGGTGATTTGAGTGTTATGTTCTTAGTAATGAGGTGTTGAGTGTTCAGTAAATATAAATTGTCAATATGTGATTTAGAGTCTTTTCATATTACAGGGGTCGGCAACCTGAGGCTCGCGAGCCGCATGCGGCTCTTTTGATATCAAGATGCGGCTCCCAGCTCCCTGAACAAATACTAATAATCTTAATAAAAAAATAAAATATTTGAAATAAAAAAATGTTAGTGGCTCTTTAAAACCAGGGAAATTTTGAAAATTATAACTTTTGGCTCTTCCGCTTCAAAAGGTTGCCGACCCCTGTCATATTAGAATAAATGAGCTTATATTTTCAATCAAATATAGTAATATACAATTTTTTTTTTTTTTATTTATTTTTTTTTTTATTAAAATTCATTTTATTTAACAAAATATGAACATGAATTTAGATGAACAACATTGAGAGAAGTACTTCATTATTTTATACTGCTCTAGACTATCACAGGTGTGTGAACAGTGATATGTGAACTACACTGTAAAGTGCCTCAAGTTTCAGCGCATGCTTATGCAGCAAGTAATCCACATCGTTGTGACTGCATGCAACTTGAATTTAGTTTGAGATCTTGAAACTGTAGATCTAACTACAAGCGCTATCAGTTGATATGACTTTTGTGCATATTCCCTAAAAATCAGTTTTTATCCAAACTATTGCCGCTTGAAGACTTTGTTTTCCGACCTGGTAAAAAGTTACTTTTTCCTGTGGGCTGGGTTATTTTAGATGTAAGCCAGACAAATGGATCCACCAATGACTTCCTGTTGGTAACTGTTACCTCCCATAGTCTCATTTTCTCTTTGACTGACCATGCCATAGCAACATCAAACTGAACTTGCCTCCGGTCATTTAATTCACTTTTGTTTCCAATAACTATTACATGGCCTTCTCTTTTGTCCTTATGTTTGTCAATTTCTTTTTTTATTTTGTCAAGCCGTTTGAAAGAATCAAAATTGGTGACATCATAGACTAAAATGAATCCGTCTGGAAAATTCAGGTAGTGCTTGGGTAGCTCTGGTTCAACACCATCTGGCATGCCCAAGTCAAATATCCGAACTTTCTCCTTCACACCTCTGTCTGTTTCTATCACTGCTGTGTAAATATCCTCCATAGTCTGGTGTGTTGGTGACTCAACAATATGGTTCCCATATAGCAGTTGCTCTAGTATTGCAGTTTTTCCAACACCAGTGCAACCACAGAGTAAAATTTTATTTGATTTTCCCATCCTTTTTTAAGGGGTGGGGGGTATGCTTAGTCTTGGATAATACTTTACTTACTAGATCTATTATTTTAATTCAATATAAATCATTTTAGAGGCGACATTTTGTTCACATTTGTTCGTGTACTTTCAAATTTTTCGGGTTACTCGACTCTATTTAATAATTAGAATAGATTCTAGGCTTAAATTCATAATAACACCTTTCGGGTCGGGTAATATACAATTATAGGCCTACTCATCGCTAAATTGGGAGGAATACATATGCATTCAATTTTTCATTTATATTTAAAATATTGTATAAATTATCTTCACTGTTTTGTATTATTTATTTGCAATTATTATTTTATTGAAAATATCAATTAACTTTTAAAGTTTCAAAATATTTAAAAGAAAAAATTAAGGTATTTAACTTTTAATCTAATTGTTGCATTTGTTGTTTTATGATGTGCTTGCTTTATTAATATTTCTGTCTTTTTAAATTAATCTATTGTTGTCTCCCTTATCCTGTTTTATAACTTGGGATATTGATTTGTAAAAATGAAGTTTAGCTGTTAAAATAAAACAATTCTATTTCTACTCTGTAGTGTTAAAAAAACATTAAATTATTTAATACGAAAAATGCATTTTTAAGACAATAAAGGTAGACTTTTAGCTTTCTATCACGCCTATCGCCTTCCTTACCCCCTACCCCACACTTTCTGAACGAAATATAAGTTATATCGAAATTATATACTTGAACCAGTGTCCTCCCCCCTCACCTAAAAGTTAAGTCCTCTTCCGCGAAAGTTTTAAGTGCTCCCCCCCCCCATAGCGGAAATGAATGTCTGAAAGCAACATGTTATCACGTGCATCCAATTACATATGAAACTTTTGCAAATGCCTTGCGGGATGTTAAATACACGATTTGTAAACCAGTGGTACCAACTTAATCATACAACCAAACAGTAAAAACGTGCAAAAATAAAATTATGAAATATCAGAAAGCTGTGTTATATCATGGTGAGCGATATATTAATAAGTATTAGATGGAGCCAAATATAGAAATATAGAAAAAAACAACAACACTATATTGAATATTGAGTAAGATGGTATGAGACATTGCGTGATCAAATTGTTTAGCGGTTTAAGCTTCTTCAGTCGTGTATTAATTAATCCCACTCCGATGTATATATATATATATATATATATATATATATATATATATATATATATATATATATATATATATATATATATATATATATATATATATTGTGATGAAATTAAGTCCTTCTATCTACAGTGCAGTCAAACCGATTAAAGCGTTTATATTAAAGAAAGGCTTAGAAGTGTCGATTGTCGCTTGAGCTGTCAGTGACATGTCAGTCCTGAACGACACGTCAAGAAGGTCATCTCGTCCCTTGTTAAGTGGAGCTGTCCTGGGCGATGCGTCATTGCGTCCAGAATTTTTTTTTTTTTTTTTTTTTTTTTTTTTTTGCGGTAAGTGTTAAAAAATCTTGACAACTGGAATGTCGACTGTCGCTAAAACTCGAATGAGACGGGAGAGGGTGGGAGGGGTATAGGGTAGGGTAGGGGGGGGGGGGTTGCTGTCACTCATTGTCTTTGGTGATACAGCGTTCAGCACCGTCTGGGTTGTGTATTTCTATCAACACAACTGTCAACTCACCTATCAAAACACATATCAACACACCTATCAACACACCTGTTGCCTCTCAGTGGGGGGTGTCAGGTAGTTCCGGCTTGTGGCGGGCATAAATACAACAAATAAAGGCATCAATCATTGATTTAACACTGTCTGTGACCTAAACTAAAGTACAGTTAAACTTTAACACTATATATATATATATATATATATATATATATATATATATATATATATATATATATATATATATATATATATATATATATATATATATATATATATATATATATATATATATATATATATACATATATATATATATATATATACACACACCTATATGTTGTTATTGTAATAATCGAGGGGCTAGCGTAGTTGGGCAGTAAAGTTCATATTTGCTTAACCGAAATTTTCCGATAGGATAGATGGGCAGATAGATGAGGCTCGTTATTTTGGGACCGCAAATCACTTAGGAGAGACAACTCCAAAATCAAACAGCTGCTGCCTTGTAGTTTGTTCTGTTCAAAGTGTGATAGCGTAGATAGATAAAATAAGACTAGACTGGTAGAGACTAATAATAAACTTGACGGTAGACAATTTGTGGCGTGAGTGTGACGTGAGCGTGACGCGACAATGTTACCGATGATGTAGGACGCAGGAGGGAAAACAGTTGGGGGTTTGCTATAGTAAGAAATAGACGTGTTTTGACATTGAATATTGCTAGTATTTGATAATAAAGTTAATTCTATTTTATGATCGAACTTGTTTATATCGTCAACTTAGTGTCGTCTGAAAATAAGAGTGTTCCCGTCCTCATCACTTGTTTATACTAATATAGTTGGAATATTAGTTATAGGCGTAGTAATCATATAGATTCATACAGCAGCGTATACAATCCCCCCCCCCCCATCACATATTGGTGAGCAGCAAAAGGCTATGGAAACAAATTCACGTAATACTTAATTGTACTGGATGAAATCCCGTCCAACAATACAATAACACAAATTACTTAAGAAGTGGGCACAAATGAAAAATGCAATGCAAAAAATACACATAAAGCACAATTCAGTTTACTCAGCTTTTCAATTTCCCAAATAATTTCAGAACCCTGTCAGTTTTAGAACCCCTGAATGATTATTTATATCTGTCAGACCAAATCCAGTTATGACAACAGTTGTGGTTAGCCGTACAAGGTATTCAGCGAAACGGGTTTGACCGCAACTTCACCCACGTACCCCTCCCCCTACCTACAGGTCTATACCCCCCCCCCCCACCACACGCGCTGTACCTACCCACATCAACTCAGCTGGTGAGCACACCAGCAACGAATGGAGCGAACGTGCGGAACAAAGCACATGCCGCTCACGCGCCGTTGGGGTGAAAGGTCAAGCGAGCTCAAGCTGCAGACACACACACACACACGCATACACACGCATACACACATACACGCACACACACACGTACAGGCACACACACACGCACACACGCATACACACCACACACACGCAAGCGTGCTGAGGTAATTGAAGTGTGAGTTTTGTATCGAAATTTGGGAATTCCCAAATACATGTTTATGGGCTCTAGAACAGGAAATAGAATAAACGAGAGGGAAAGAATGAAGAGACAGAGAGAGAGAGAGAGAGAGAGAGAGAGAGAGAGAGAGGAAGGCACGGTAAGACTGTTATGCTTACAAATATAACCAGTGATTCAATAAAAAAAAACAACCCTCTTAGACTAGTCACTTAGTGTATTGAGTTTTAAATAGATAGTACTACCACGTCCGGGGGGTGGTTGGGAGGGGGTAGACGTGCTTAGGGGGAGGGGGTTGTAGGCTCTTCCTGCCTCCACTAACCCAACCCCTAATAGAGAAACCCGGAATAAACATTGGGCACTTTACTATTTCAACTGTAAGATGAACATTTTCTACCATTTTTACCTGCAAAATATCTTTTAATGCAACACTACTTAAAATCTAGACTTATTTCAAAACACGTGGTTTTACTATTCTCGACTCAGTCTAGAACGACGTCACAATGACGTCACAAAAACGTCTCGCTCCTGAGAATACATACACCGAGTAGAAACACCTACTGCGTGTGCTATAAATAGGCTCAGAGCCCCCCCCCTTTTTCCCCCCTTCCCCAATGAATTAGGACCATAAGGGCAGACCGGGGTTTAATGACTGCTGACGATGTCAGTCAGTTCGTGTGTCTGTTAAATACACACGTGACGTGAACCCAAGAGGGCTCTGTGCAATTAGGTCATCCACACACACACACACACACACACACACATATATATATATATATATATATATATATATATATATATATATATATATATATATATATATATATATAAATATATATATATATATACACACATATATATTATGTATAGTGTGTGTGCTTGCGTGTGTGTGCGTGCCTCTTTATGTGTGTGTATACACGCACATAAAATTAAACGTCGGTTTGCAATTAATAGTTTATTTACTATGAATAACTGTTTGATTAGAAAATAAAGAAAAAAAAACAGAAAAAAAATGCGTTTTGCCACTCCCCCCCCCCCCCACCCCTGGCCACCACCCCTCCACGACAACATTGGAACTGTGATTAGTATTTTTCACATTACTACATGGGGATTTCTTCCTTGTCACTGAAAGATAACTCCTGTTGTTTTAAATATACGTGAGCACAGTGTTCTCCCCTTGTTTCTAACACGAAATATAAAATAAACTTCAACAAAACCTAAATAAAAAATATGCTGGCAAACGCAAAATATTAACAGTACCACTTAATCGTAACCAAAACCAGGTATTACGCATGCGCACAACCCAGCCCTACCCTCCACCGCTATAAACAACGTAACAGACACCCTAATTTACCTCACCGTCTGCCCACTCTGATCTACCACCGTGAGATGTCAAAATGACACGCGGGCGTTAAAGGTTAGCCGTGACGTCACGTGCACCAACTCCCCATCCCCGCACCTTCCATCCCTCACGGTTTAACTGAACTACGCTAAACACCCTCCCAGTTTGTGAGATGTTTTTTTTTTACTCTATTAAACGTGAAGTCGGGATTTGTTTATTAATTTATTTCTGAAACAATCTAGTTTTATACCGTTAACATTTGAGTATCCAAATATAAATAAATTTATATATATATATATATATATATATATATATATATATATATATATATATATATATATATATATATATATATATATGTAAAATATGTGTGTATATGATGTCAAAATGAGTTTATCGTTACTGGTCGTATTCACACATCTCTATGATGTGCTTTAGGTATCTTTATGGTGTCTTTATTGGGAGACTTCAATGTGTCTTTATTGAATGTTTATGGTGTTTTATAGAAGTATTTTATGCTTTTTATGATGTCTGGTCTCCCAAAGGTGTACAAATGGAGTATGTGTTGGATTAAGTAACGATGATGAATTTTTGGTGTATCGCTGTTATATATATATATATATATATATATATATATATATATATATATATATATATATGTATATATATATATATATATATATATATATATAT